CCCATGATTTTTAATACGTTCTACTTCTTGTTTATTTCACCTTTGCACTGGATCCACCCTCCTCCCTTTCATAGTTTGATCTTTTGATAAACTAGTTCTACCTCTATTATTCTCTACTCTTGATCTGTTGCCTTCATGTCCAGTCACCATTCACATCTTGGCAAACTCCAAGTATAGATCACTGTCATCTTTTGCCTCTTTTGCTTCTATTCACATGCTGCTGAAGGGAGCTAAAGAAAATCGAGAAACCATGATGAATCAGTCCACTACAAATTCACATTATCTGATGTTAACTGTATTTTCATTGCAGCAAGACATTTATCCTATTTTTTCCTAATTGATTTGCTACCCCAATCTCCACAGGAACTGTACAGAAATTGTTCCAAAACTTTTCATTTCTCCTCAAGTCTCTTGAGATATCTTATTTTCTACCATCTTACCTCAGAATTTAGCTTTCTACTTCCCTGGAAATATTTATTCCATTCACTAGGAGTTAGCTCTTTCTCTCCTGCCCCCTTATTTCACATCACTTTGATATATTTTCCTACTAACTTTTCCATCATTCCTATCTTGAAAGAAGAGTTGGCCCTTCTCTTTGCCAGTCAGCCCTTGTACATCCATTTTTATCATGTCCATTCCCATCTTCTCCAGAAGATTGTACCCCTCCCCATCATCCTTACTCTCTCTATTATTCATTCTGTCTCTATCTACTGTCTCCTTTCTTGCTGCTTATAAACATCTCCTCCATTCTTGCAAAATAGTTGCTTGATCTTACTCTCTCCACTAGTTGTCATCCTATATCTTACCTTCTCTTTATGGATAAACTCCTTGAGAAAACTATCCACATAAAGTGTCTCCTTCTGACTTCATCTCCTTCTGACCTTCTCCATAATCATCTGTGTTCTGGCTTCTGACCTTATCATTCAACTAAAAATGCCCTCCAAATTTCCCAATGATATCTTGATTGCCAAACCTAAAGGCCTTTTCTCTATGTTTATGCTTCTTGACCTTTCTGCAGCATTTGACAATAGTGATAAACTTCTCTTAAATATTCTTTCTTCTCTAAATTTTTGTAACACTCTTGGTTTTTCTCCTGCCTGTATGATTACTCTACTTTAGTCTTCTTTACTGGATCTTCATTCATGTCCTGCCTTCTAACCAGAGGTGTTTCTCAAGGCTTCTTCCAGGGTGATCTCATCAACTCTCATTGGTTCTGTTATAATCTCTATGTAGATTATTCACAGATATAACCTCTCCAGATCTAATCTCTCTCCTGAGTGCCAGTTCTGTATCCCCCCTCGCCTTTTGGACATCTTGAACTGGATGTCCCATAGACATCTCAAACACATGTCCAAAACAATAAGGTATTATCTTTCTTTCCAAATTGTCTCCTCTCCCAAGAACTTTCCTTTTACTGGCAAGGAAACCACCATTTTTCCAGTTTACTCAAGCTTACAATCTCTTTGTCATCTGGACTCCTCACTCACATCAAGCTCCATTGGCAAATATTTCTGTTCCTATAGCACTTCTTGTATATGTCCCCTTCTCTCCACCTATACAACTCCACCCTCATTGAGGTCCTTATCACCCCTTGACTACTGCCAGGGCTATTGCAGTAGCCTGATAGTTGGTCTCTCTGCCTCACGTCTCTCCCTACTTCAATCCATCCTTCACTCAGTTTCCAAAATGATTTTCCTAAAGCACAGATTTGACCAAATCATCCTCTTATTCAATTAATTTTAATGTTTCAGTATTATCTCTGGAATTAAATGTCAATCTCTGTGTTTTAAAGCCCTTCTCAATCTGGCTTGTTTCTATATTTCTGGTTTTCTTAAAACTTTACTTCCTTCCATGTACTAGGTGATACAGTAACAGTGATCTACTTGCATTTCTTCATATGAACACTTTATCTCCCATTGCACTGGTTGTCCTCTATGTTCAAACACTCTCTTCCCTTCTCACCTCAACTCCTTTATTTCCCTGACTTCCAAACTCAGCTCAAGTCCCACCTTCTATAGCAAGCCTTCTGTAGTTCTCCTACTGTTTATGCCTTCCCCTATGAGATTGTCTTCCATCTACTCTCTGTATATCTTTTACCTGTCTGTATATACCTAATTATTTACATATTGTTTCCTGTATTAGAATGTGAGCCCTGTGAGGTCAGAGGGTTTTTGGGCTTTTTTGCCTTTCTTTATATCTCATAGTGCCTGGCACATAATATGTACTTTAAAAATGCTTGTTGATTAATTCTAAAAACATATATACACATATATATATATGTGTGCATGTGTGTACATATATACACATATACACATATGTGGTACTAAGCAATTCCAAAACTTGATTCCTACCTCTCCTTTTTCGTACCTATTCCATAAATGCTTATATGAAATAATTTTTAATAAGCATACATTCCTAAATGAATCACTTCAAATCACATTACATGAAATTAGTAATTTCACTTTAAGATATTCATAGCCTTGATACAACAAGTTAATAAGTACATTGAGTACCTCAGATGGCTATCAACATGTAACTTGTTTCATGTTACCTGTCATCCCCTTTCTTTATTGCTACTCTTCTGTATCTCACCACCATACACTCCAGATCACAAGATATAAGTTCCTAGGGTTCATTCCATTTATGACTACATAAGAAAATATATTGAAGCAGAAAATTTAAATGTAAAGACTAGGGATATATGTGTATTTGTGTATGTGTGTGTGTGTATACACATACACATATATGCATACATACATATATACATAAGATTTCTGCCTAGGTGGGTGGGACTAGCTTGTTCTCCTGGCCAAATTTGGCACAATTTTCTACTAACTTCCAGCACATGCTTTAGCATATTGCTTTTCTTTGTGGCCCCCAAATGAAAATGACATCTTGGTTCCCACAACACTTTCTACTAGTATGTAATCAGCCCCCATGGATACTCTCGAGTCTAGACCAAGCTTATTTGTCAGGTTCTATACTCTTCTACCCAGTCAATCTGGCAATATTGTATTATATGAACCTCTGAGGTTCTTGGGGCTAAGAAAATGTTGACCATTAGTGTTTTATTATACTCCAGAAATACTCCTCAGAGGGGGTTGGAATTCATCTTTGGAGTCTATTGAAGATATTCTCTTTTATGTGTAGTACTCATACATAGACACCCACTCCAACACCCACACCCATCCACAGATGCTGAGAATAGCTGCCCCAGGTTTAAGATACTGAATGGGTCACATCCATCCAAAATTATTGTACACAAACTACCTCTGATCATTGCCATTATCTCTTTGTGCTTGGTTCTAACACCTACTCCTTCTTTCCGTTCTTTTTACTATCACCATCATCCCCACTAAGCCATAAATATAAGCTTTCTAGGGCTTATTTGCAAGGGAAAAAGAGCATTATAAATTCATATTAAAAGTACACTTACATAGTTATATTGAGAAGGTAAGGAAAATGCATATAAAGTTTATACCAGTCCTAAGTGGTTTCAGGTCCTACGTTGTAGGACCAATGAGGCAGGTAAGTGGTAAAGTGGATAAAGCACTAGGCCTAAAGTCAGGAAGACATGAGTTCAAATCAGACCTCAGGTACTTACTAGCTGTGTGACTCTGGGCAAGTTACTTTACCTCTATGTCCCTCCATTTCCTCACCTGTAAAAATAGCATGTATCTCCCAGAGTTTTTGTGAGGATTAAATGAGATATTTGTAAAGTGCTTAGCATAGTTCATGGCACATAGTAGGCACTTAATGAATGCTTTTCCCTTCCCTCCCTTCTCTTCCCCTAGCTTGCTTGCTGTTTTCTAGTTAAAGTTCTCATTGCCTACCTGGCCCATGATTCTGCGATTCTGTTTTCTACCCTATGCCGACTATCTAGATATTGTTTCTCTATGGCCCCTTAGTGAGAATTACATCTTTATTCACAGAACACTTTCCACTGTTTTGGGATGAGCCTACCTGGTTAGTTGGCACATAGTTTATTTGTCAGTTTATAATGCCAGTTCTCAGCCAGTTAGAAAGCCTTCAGTTTACTCATGGGTTTGTCATGTTCCACCCATATCTGTATGTAATCACTTAACTAATACATATCTTTCCTTCCTCTTACTCAAAGGAGAGAGAGCATAAAAAAGAAATATCAGATACTATTATAGTTCCTGATATATAGAAAGCAAAGTAATTCATCCCAATGACCAGATTACCACCAAGATTTTCATTATAGGTGGTGATTATTTTGATTTACTTTAGCTTCCAGAATGAAATAAGTGTGTAGAAATAAAATAGAGTTTATTTTCTTACTAAGAGTCAAGTTTATAAAACTCAGAATAGAAAAGTAATTCCATTCTTTATAAATATCATGATATGAAAATGTTGCAGAAATAGATATGGGTTTCCCTACCTTTCTATAGCACTGTAACACTTTTTAAAATGATCACTCTAGCTCATCTTACAGCTGGTTGGTCTTGCTACTTTTCATTCTGATTTTTTTCCAGGAAGATGGGATTTCTCTTCATAATTCTAGAATAGCCATTTCTCTCAGAAGTGATTGCAGCAAATATGGGTTCCCACACATTAACTCTTCAGAATTCTCCCCTAGTTCAAATTCCCTGAGCACAGCAAAGACCAAAGTTTGTCCAGTACATTGGGTACTGGCCAGAGTCTGAGAACATGCTATACAACTTGAAAACTTGATCATTCTTATTCATGGGAGCTTCCTTCATCTTGGATACTGTGTCTGCCCACTTAAACCTTGAAGATTTATGTCTCACATCATTTATCACATAAAAGGAAAATAAAGTTGTGCCTCAAAGACAGACTTGAGTTAGAAAATCCTCACATGAGATCAGTCTGTCCATTCACTTATCATTGTGTTGGTCTCAAAGCCTTTCCATATTCTCTTATGACCCTGTGTTCTATTTGTAAATTCCACTCTCATGGTGAGATTTGCAAGAGTCTGCCACTACTTCTCATTGCCTTTGCCTGCTTTTTTCAACCAGGCCGAGTTCCAAGAGCAGTGGCTTCTGTCAACCAGCATTTGTTAAAGTCTGACGACGTGGTGAGTTGCTGCCTTGACCTTGGTGTACCCAGCATCTCATTCCGAATCAATGGGCAGCCTGTGCAGGGAATGTTTGAGAACTTCAACACTGATGGGCTCTTTTTCCCTGTGGTGAGCTTTTCAGCAGGCATCAAGTAAGTTAATATTGTCTGTTTTTGGAGATTACCATGGCCAACCCTTCTTTCCTATCCCTGTGAGCTCAAGTCCATGTTGTTCACATTTATCAGATTTCTTCAGGCCATTGACAATTTCTAGTATGAATTATTCAGAAAGTGTGGATAGGAAATTGAGCATAATCCTGTTCTTTTGAATAATGAAATGGAAAATATGAGAATGGCAACTATATTATTACCTAAAAAATTCTCCAGAGTAGCACCATAGTAGCTATTGGAGAGTGCTATGTGCAACATTGTATTTGAAATAAAAGGATCTGGGTTTGATGCCTGAATGCTGCTTACTGACTATGTAATCTGGATTGTTACTTTACCTCTCTGGGCTCAGCAATAAAATTACCTTAGATGACTTCTAAGGTCCCCTTTAGCTCTAAATCCAATTATCTTATAGAGTCTATTAACTGTAGTAGAGTCACTAGGTAGAGAGTTGTATCACTTCCCTAAGTGACATAGTCAGAAATATTACTTGTTTTGAGAGCCCAAGAGGGAATATGATCCTGTGGCTTAAAAATCCAAAGAAAGATTTTTCTCATGAGGAGGCGAAGTGAATTTAGTTCCATATCATCAGGCCAGTGCACATAAGACTGAGACAAGCAGGCTTATCATGGAATGGGGGCATTTAACCTGAGGTAAGTGATAGCTTGACTTTGGGCATTGCTGTACCACATCAGTCTTTAAAATGAGGACATCCCAACCCTGACTTTGCCCCCCCTTTCTAAAAAGTCCTGTTTAATGGAGTTTTTTTTTCTTCCGTTGAAATTAAAATTGCTCTTATTTTGTTCTGTGGCTTAAGAAAATATTGAGACTGAACAAGTTGTGGTATATAAATATAATGGAATACTATTGTTCCATAAGAATTAATGAGCAGGCAGACTTCAGAAAAACCTGGAAAGACTTACATGAACTGATGCTGAGTGAAGTGAGCAGAACCAGGAGAACATTGTACACAGTAACAGCCACAATGTTCGATGACTAACTTTGATAAACTCATCTCTTCTTAGCAATGCAAGAATCCAAGACAACTCCAAGGGACTCATGATGGAAAATGCTGTCCACATCCAGAAAAAGAACCATGGAGTGTGAATGCAGATCAAAACATATTATTTGCTCTCTCGCACTCTTTTTTTTGTTTCTTCTTTCTCATGGTTTCTCTCATTGGTTCTAATTCTTCTTTACAACATGACTAATGTGAAAAAATATGTATGAAGAGCCTATATCAAATTGTACACCGTCTTGGAGTGGGGGAAGAGGAGAGATGGAGAGAAAATTTGGGGGAAAAGATATTGATAACTTTTATGATTACAAAGAATTCATTTCTTAATATAACCCTCCTACCTCCCCTACCCAGCAAGCCATTTCCTGTAACAAAAATGTTAAAAAAAAAAAGAGGCAGAAAAAGCTGTTCAGAAAAATTAATCAATACATTGACTATATTGCCAGTACTAATCTCCTGCTGCCCCCTTGTAATATAGGGAGGGGAATATATTTTGTCAATGCTTTCTACATTTAAGCTTGGTCAATAGAATCTCAGATTTCTATTTCAGTTTTCTGTTCATGACATTTACATTATTGTAGTCACTATGTTTATTTTCCTTATTCTACCCGCTTAACTTTGAATTAGCTTTTTTAATCTTTTTTTTTCAGTCAGCAGAGATCTGCCTTTTCTCCATCTCAACCTCCCTGATTGAGAAAGAAAATCAAACCCATGTTACAAACATATATAGTCAAACAAAAGAAATTTTTGCATTGACCATATTCCCTTCCACACTCCTCTCAAAATAAGTAGCCTTATGCTGAACCCTGAATCTTCCATTTCCCTATCAGAAGGTGGGAAGTGTGTTTAGTGCAACCATCATGGTTCCTCCTATTTTCCTATTGAGTGTGTCAACCTCCTGAGTTCGGTCTAAGAAAGAGAAACAAAATTAGGCAGTATGTGCATTTATTTTTCATTTTTATCAAAGCAGGCAGACATGCATATGAATGCATGGGAGTAACAGTCCACACCTGTTTATATATCCTTCCAACAGAAGATGATGTGATTCCATCATCATTTCATCCCTGAACAGAGAAAATATCTCTATATCAAATCACCCCCAGCTACACCAAATCACTCTCAGCCTTGGGCCATCTAGACAAAAGTATCTGTCTCCATTCAAGCTTGAGTTGTTCTACCATGGGCTTCTCCACTTTAGATTAAATTCCTTGCAAGCTTGGGTGGGGTTTGACCAGGATTGGGAGAGTCAATGCAGTTGCATTATCAGTAATGTCCTTCTGAAGAAGAACTAGAAGGAGGGGATGGAGGAGCTCTGAATCTCCCTAAGATACTGGTTATTAATTATCACTTTCACAAGTGAAATGTATTTCTGGACCCAGCTCTATGTCCATATTTTGGAGCCATTCTCTTCTTGCTGTGTCTTAAAAGAGTCCTATCACAGTAATAACTTTTTTGTTTGCTCTTTGTTCCACCCTACTTTTGAACTTTGGACTTTATGTTACGACTAGGCTCTGTACACTTCTGGACAGAATGTCTCAGGATGGTTCTGCTATTGCATTCTTTGGGGCTATTGAATGTTATGTTATTCTAGGATCTCAGGGAACCTACAAAGCTTTCATTGCTCCCAAAGTGATATGATTCATGGTGGTCTGGTTATTTCCTACCTGGTTTTGGCTTTTCAAATTTCCGACCTAGGTTTGGGTCTGAACAAAAGACCAGTAGTCTTTCCCTATTTAGAGTTTCAGTGGACTGCTGCTAGACTCAGCCACTATCAGCTAGTTGTAAAACTCTGTTATTTCAGAGTGATAGGACTGTAGGCTTCCATTTGATGTGAAATTCCAGACCTGATTCCTGGGAGCTGAGATACACAGCTGTTGCTCATTTCTGATGTAGCTCCTTTCTCTCCACCCTGAAATACCACGTGTAGGGGTAGATTTCTCCTAAGTCCACACTGCCCAGAACTGGTAATGATCAACAAAGTAGCCATTTGGCACCTGTTTCTCTACTCTACACAAGTTTAGGCCCTTCTATGTTGGATCAAGCACTCTCCCTTGCCCTAGTACACAGCCTCTCTCTGCAATGGAATACTTCATTGACACCCTCCTTGACTTACACTGTTCCCAGCATACAAACCTTTCTGCCTTCTTTGCTGATCTGGCCTCAAAAAAATGATTCATTGTGGTTTTTTTCTTGGATTTCCCTATCGGGATTTGGTCTGGTGCCTTTTCAAGATATGTTTGGAGAAGTTGAATTTTTGGTGGGGATAAGGCAGTTCACCATCCCCAGTCATCCTGATCTGTATCTTGCCACTGGACTCAGATGGCTCCAGAGGAGAGAGTGAGGCTGGTGACTACATAGCCCTGCTTCACTTATATCCAATTCATTTGTTAGTCATGACATCCACTTCCTGATGTCATGGTCCTCTTCAAGAATGAAGGACAAATAACAACCTGTGAATAGTAGGAGCTGCCCCACTGGGGACCCAATTGGCCAGTTCCAGTTGGGTAACATAGGGCCATCCCTTCCTTCCTTCCTTCCTTCCTTCTTTCCTTCTCCTTCCTTCCCTCCCTACCTTTTTCTCTCCCTTTGTGCACATAAGGAATTATACCCTTACCTGCAGGTGCTCTGACCAAATGAATATAAATTTTGATTGCTGAAACTTCACAAGGTATCTTGGGGTTTACCTGCTAGATTTTTTTTTTGTTAAAGACCATGCCTTAAACCCAAATCACTTTGGCTCTCGTTGATTGGCCAACAGTAGGTCCCAGGCAAAGTCTCACTTGGTCATTGTTTGGGCTCTGATGGTTCAGAGTGAGTGTAAATAGCAATTGTTCTGTTTTAGCCAGAAACCTGAGAGTCTTTTCCTCCAGGTTGGGTTTGGGTTTTTTTTTTGTTTTGGTTTGTTTTGGTTTTTTTGGGACTAGGTAAAAGAGGCCATTCTTTGCCTCATTTCTTACCTAGTCTTAATCACTGATTGGGCATTGCCTCAGACAAACTGAGACCTGGGAAAAATCTTAGCTTAAACAAGGTCTTCCATTGCATGGCTCTGGAGGAGAGAATAAGGTAGGTGACTTTGCACAGGCTGGCCTCACTTAAATCCATTTCACTTGCAAGTCAAGACACATCACCTTCCAGATATCATTGTCTTCTTCCAGAAGGAAGGACAAACATCAACAACACCACAGTTATTCTAAGGTCATCAGTTACGTCAAGAAGCACTAAGTACTTACTATGTGCTATGCATATAGAAAGCAAGAGCACAAGAATAGTTATAAAAGGAGTGACAGTGGTGGAGATGGCAAGCAAATAATAACAAAAGTAAGAATATAATGTCAACAAAATATTTTTAAAATATACATAAGAGAGAAGAAAGAAGTACAGAAGGCGACATAGGCAAGCAAGGCAGAATTGATACTTTCATTTAAAATTTTTCAGCTGAGAGATTTGTGTTTCCTATACAATCTTCTTTTTTTGTTCTTTTTTGTATATGAAAATATTCATGTTTGTTGATGTTTGTCAAGTTCATAATTTTAAAAAAGGCAAGAACATAGTCCCTTGCCTCAAGAAGCACACACTCTAATGAAGGAGAGAATATGTCTATCTATCTATCTATCTATCTATCTATTTATCTATCTGATAAGTGATAGTTAATCCCAGAAGGAGGTACTAGGGGAGGGAAAGCATGTGGACTGGGAAAGGATTCTTACAGAAGGTAAGATTTTAGAGCTAAGTTTTGAAGGAATCTAAAAAGTGGAGGTAAAAAGGAAGAGCATTCCAGGCATGAGGGAAAGCTGAAAAAGAATAGAGTCAGATGGAGTGGCATATGGGAGGGAGAGAAAGAAAGTCAGCATCTCTGAATCATAGAATGCATAGAAGAGAGAAAAGTATAGGAAGATTGGAATCAAACCCAGTGGGAGCTGATGAGATCAACAAACGAAACAGTGTAGAGGAAAAAGAGAGAAGGACC